GTATGTACAGATACTTTTAAATTCCTTTCTGTTATAATAAATTGTTATAATGTATGTTTGAAACAAACCCTAATTGAAAGTCAATGCGCTATTTCTCAGGGGGAAATTCCCCATCATTCCAAAAGTGTTTCCCTAAAAAATTTTTTCCCGTTGCTTTTTTTTCAGCAATTTGGATTTTTCCCTGCTTTGGGGCTTTTTTTTGAGTTTTTTTCAATTGGTAAACCCCCAAAACCATATATTTCCTTTACATACAAAGGGGCCCTATGTTTAAAGGGGTTTTGGGGCCGGGGGTTTTTCCGTACTTTTTCCCCCCTTTTAAACTTTTAAATTTTTTTTGGGTATACTTTAAAAAAGTAAAAATTGAAAATTCTTCTTTTTCTTCTTGGGCTTTTTAAACTTGAAAAAAAACCCTTTTCAAACGTTTTGTAGCAAAAAAGGTTTTCCCCCCTTTTTTTTTTCCTTTAAGGGCCCCTGGGGAAATAAAAATTTAAAAGTAAATGAAAAAGGGCCTTTTAAATTTGGGATAAAAATAGGTAAATTTTTCCCCAGAAAAATATTGAAAATTTTTATTTAAAAAAATTTATTTTTTAATAAAATTACGAAAAATGGGGTTTTTAAAACGAAAATTAAATTTTTTAAATTTTTGTAAAAAACTAAAAAAATCTGTTTGTGGTCTTTTTTGAAACCTTTTAAAAATGTTTTCAAAAATTTTTCTGTAAATGAGATTTTTTCCCTCTTTCCCGGGTTTTTTTCCCCCATGTTTTTTACTAACAGCCATTTTTATTTTCCAGTTTTCCCGGGGGACATATTTTTTATGTTTTTTTCTCGGGCCCCCATTTTTCTATAAACTTCTTTCCTAAAAAAAACTTTTTTCTGTTCAACCCGGTTCCCCCGCTTTAAAAAATTCTTTTTTCGGGCCCTCTCTTCTATGATTCTCCCATTTTTTAAAAATTTAAAATTTTCTTCCCTTAAACGATCTAGCAAAAAAAGGCAACAATTTTGTCGCAAAAAAAAATTTATCCCCCCAAAAAACAAGGGGTTTGTTTTTTTATAATACTTTCCCCTGTCCCATTTAAAAGGGAGAAAAATTTATTAAATTTTTTTGATACAAAAAAATGCCGAAAATATCTTTTTGTGATTTTAAAGGGATTTTGCTTTTCATGCAAAGGGTTTCCGATGGAAAAAAAAGCTAGGGCATTTGCGAAAAACGTTTAAAACCTTTTCTTGTTTTTTAAGATAAATGTAACCCTAATTTTTTTTTAGGGAAAAATTGTATTCTATTTTTAATGTTAAAATTTTGTGGTGGAAAAAAAAGATTATTTTTGGGTTTTTCCCCCGATATGAGGGCATGAGTGTTAAAAAAAATTTGATAGTTTTAATTTTTAGAAAAATGGTTTATTGTAAAATTTTCAAATTTTTTGGGAGTTGATAAAAAATGCTATAGTTAAAAACAAACTAATTTTTTAAAAAAAAAACAAAATAAATTTCAAAAATCTAATTTTTGGGTTTACAAAAATTTTTTAAAAGTGGGTTTCCAAAAAAAATAAAAATTAAAAGTTTTTAAAAAGAAATTTTTTTTATTTAGAAAGGAAAAACCCCAAAAAAATTTTTATTAAAAAAAAATTTAAAATATTTTTTCCTTTCCATAGCAGTTCCTTTTTTAAAAAAATACTTTTCAAATTTCCCTATTTTATTTATATTAAAATTTTCCCAAAAAACCCCCTTTTAAAAAAAAGAAAAAGAATTTAAAAACAAAAAATTATTTAAAACATATTTTATGGACTTGTTTTTTTTCTTTCTTTCGTTATCTTTTGTTGCGATCTTTTTCCCTGCCCAAAATAAATTTCATTTTTTGATTTTCAATACTATTTTTTCATTAAAAATTGGGCGCTCCAAATACCCTTTTATTATTTGGGGTTTTGATTTTTTTATCGCATTTTAGGGGGCCCCAAATTTTTCAAGGCGTTTCAATTTTAAAATCATTTTTCTTCAAAAAACTATTTTATTTTAAAAAAAAAAGGAAAAAGAGAAATTTTAGTGTTAAGAATTTGTTCCGAATCCGGCTTTAAAAGTTGGCAGCCCATTTTTAAAGATTTAAAGGCATTCGATGTTCCAAAATACCCAAATCAGTCATTCGATGTTCAAAATACCAAAATAAATAAATTAATAAAATAATAAAGAAATACATGTAATAAAATTAATTAATTAATCAATTAGAAATAAAAAAAATATATATGAAAAATAAACAAGTAAAATAATCTTCTTTAAAAATATGATATGACAAATGATATTAGTTTTTATCTCGACTTTTATTTTCAAAGAAAAATAGAGACATTGTTACAGTTAGGTAACCATTAGTGACGTTAGTTCCCATTATTGGTTAGGTATTGAATGGATTGTCTTCAACCTTCAACATTGAACACAACAGCAAGTAAACCAGACAGACCTTGCCCTTCACTCATAAATGACCTTGACCCTAAAGGTCAAAATTATTGTAATTTTCATATTTCTTTGTTGTAACTGGCTACATGAATTGGCTTCGTATTAAGACACAGCATTCTTTGGGATAAGACCTTTTTGTATACAGTGTTCCGTTTGGACAATCGTAATTTTTTTTTATTTCGTCCTTACCCGCGATGTACGATGGTAAAGTCGCGATCATACGATGATGAAAACACGATACAAATCGCGTTTTTACCATCGCGACATCGCAATTTCACCATCGTACCATCATGTTTTCATCATCGTACCATCGTGTTTTCATCATCTTGTCATCGTACCTTCGCGTTTTCACCATCGTTCCACCGGGTAAAAACGAAATAATATATCACGATTGTCCCCACGAAACACCGTAGAACACCGATCAGGCATATTAAACAAATTGATTTTGGCTCATGTATTACCTTGACATTGAGTTGTAAATTTTCACTGATCTTTGACAAATTGACTGTCATTTTAGTAATTAACTGTTTATGTTACATGTTACAACTGCACGTAATTCTTCGTCTTTTGAAAAAAAAATTCTTAGCTTTGGCGAGACTAATACAAGTTTATTTCGATAACGAATATTGTAATTGTTCACGGAAATAACGTCATGAAAATTCTTGAACGTCTGCTATGTTCGCATTTCTTTCTATTCGAAAAAAAAATGATGATTTTTGTCGTTAATAAAGGAAGAATATAAGCGGTAAAAAAGGGACCCGGCAGCAAGCAAGACATTGGTTACTATGGTTTCGAGTATTTTGATCGTTTATTGAGAACATTCTTTGACCCTTACACATAGAATACATATTACGGTAATACACACTAACGGTAAATATACAGAGAAAATATTTGAAAATAAAAAAAAAGTTACTGCACAATTCATCGAATTAATCGAACAGCCCTCGTGATTTTAATTTCTGTAGGGTTCAACGTGTTTGAATAAACATTATAAACTTGAATATTTGACAGAATACTGGTATTATTACTCATATTTAGATCAGATATAATTTACTACAATGAAAATTTACATACAATTTCATGATCGTGTGTATAATTTTCTTTAAGGGTGGCTAGCTAGCTGGACTTTGACATGTTTTAAAGGGACATAAATAATATTATTAAAATGAAATGTCTATAAACATATACATGTAGCCCTATATTAGAAACATCTCAGGTGTATCTTTTCGAATTGTTAATTTTACAGACAGATATTCACCACCAAAATGACCTACGTTTATAGTATACATATGTTAATTTCAGATGATAAACATCTGTCACGTTCTTAAATCATAATTATAACATCATAAATCACAATGTTTTCCCTTTCGGCAGAATCAACAAAAAAATCTGGTATTTAATATCCATTTAATGAATTATACTATAAACGTAGGTCATTTTGGTGGTGAATATCTGTCTGTAAGTTCGCGAACGTGAACATTTTTTTCTGATTAATGTATCAAAATACTAATTGCTACACAGTCTCTAATATAAAATAAACATGTTTTGATTACATACAAATAAGCAATCTTTTGTTTTAAATTCTACACACTATAGATGGACACAATAAGAATGTATAATGTCATTAAAAAACTGGCAGTTTTTTTTTCAAGAAAGGACCAACTTTACTTGATCTGTCATAGGATGTGCGGCTTCCGACACACAGTTTGTACATTCTTTTATTAAAATTAAACATATTCAGAAAGAATTTAATAGATTTCAATTAATTTCTGGGATAAAAAATATTATCTCTAAGATGAGCATAGTATATCTTTAATTCACTCAACTTTAAACAATAGACATATAAAAAAGAAACAATATATCAAATGTTTAAAAGACTTCTATCTAAAAGAAGTGATATAAAATATAATCAATCAATCAATCAATCAAGCAAGCAAGCAAACAAGCAAGCAAATGTTTTAAAGAATTTCTATCTAAAAGAAGTCATATAAAGTTCAATCAATCAATCAAGCAAGCAAGCAAACAAATCAATCAATCAATCAAGCAATCAAGCAATCACACAAGCACAAAATCAGGTAAACTCACAATCAGGCAAGCAAGAATCCACACAATGAAATATATAAATCTATAGGTCAATCAATCAACATTCTTATAATTTAAACCTTATAAAACATAATAACCGATCCCTTAATCGCAATGTTGTAACATACATGTAGGCTGTATTTACATGCTAAAGTAGATAACCAAAGGTACAATATTCGACTATCATAATGATGATAATGCCAGAAAAAGTATTTCCTGATAACCCCAGATTTTTATCTAAAGTTTAAACATTTTTATGTGGCATATTGGAAAATCTTTTAACCTTTATGAACAAACAATGGTGAGAAATTAGTTATGTACGCTTCTATGTAGAGAAAAAAATGTTTATATAATGTACCGAGTCGGTAGCAAATGTCACGAAAGATAAGGTGTGAAGCAAATTATAATAACAAAATACATATTTATAAGAGATATGTGACCAGTATTATATATAATGCAAAATATCGTAAACGGATTTAATGATCACAGTCACGAGTGACATCGCTGACAGAGCATTGTCTACAAAGATTAACATGGTATATGTCAATCTCAGCTTGTCTTGGAGTTCTCGCAGAAAAGCCACCATTTGGAAATCCGTTATCCGCAGCCATTGGATTCAAGCCGAAATCATGTGATTCAGGCGGCTGAATTTGTACTGGTCTTTGCTCAGAGGGTTCTAAAATACAATCTTGCTTGTCATCATCGGCATTTGTTTTCTTTGCTTTCTTTTTGCTAATTTTCTTTAATGTTTGTCGAATTTTATCACTAATACCAGAAAGAGGCCTGTCTGTTGAGCCTCGCTTGTTGTTTTTGAGAGCATTAAATACAGCGGTCCTGAATCCCCAGCTTGTAGAAATCGTTCCTTCTTCACAGTCATTTCCGTCTTCATTCTGTAACGATCGCAATTCTAGCATGTATCTTTTCACTTTTCTTCTTCGGTGGATAGTGTTATTATATCGACTAACTTCCTGACATTCACCCACTTGGAATATAAATCTACTGGGAAGAATACTTTCAAAAAAGAAAATCATAGATAAATATTGAAGTTTACAATGTCGCTCTCTTGTCCTTACATTTCCAACATTCTCTACCAATTCCATACACGTGCGAGACATCATTGCTATAAGTGCATTCAGCATGAGCAAAGTGGTCATAACGATAAAGCTCACCAGTATGATGATACACAAGGTGGGATGACGAGTATCATAGATTGCGACTAAGTCTCCGACACCTACCATCAAGCTAAACATAGAGAATATTGTCCGCCAAATGTCCTGATAATCTGTTGATTCCGCAACACTCGACCCTTGAATCGCCATAAACATAGCGGTAGCGAAAGCAAGTATTTCGATACCGATTATGACAAAGAAACGTGACATGTCTATAATGAGGACTTTTTGTATCATAACCGTGAAGAAACTGAACGGTTTGAAGGCTCTTATGAAAAATATTTCCAAAAACCACCCGAGTACCATAGCTGCTATTAGTAGATAGTTCTCGTAGGAAACAACGCAATAAGCAAGGGCAAAGTCGACAATGAGGCAGAGACCGAAGAAAACAAACATAACACGAAACCAGCCACTGCTGTAAGGATTCAAGAATGAGCTCAGAGTCCACGGCATTCTTTTTTTGTACATCCGCAACCCTTCCTGAGCAAGGTATACAAATGAAACTATTATGCAGATACTGCCGTATGTTGTAACAAATGGATCATATGGTATTTTCCTGATAAAGATTGGAGGACTGTTGACACTGAAAAGCCCTTGGGAATTATGGTTTTGTTTTGATCTCCCAACACAATAACATGTATGAAAAAACATAAATATCGTATGAAATATCCACCAAAAGTAGACATATTTTCTGTATGCATTCCACTTCTGATTGACGACTCTCATTAATGGAGGAAACAAAATGAACTGAAAAGCGACAGACGGCTCAAGATCGAAAAGCATCATAAGGACAGACTTTCGAAAAAGTTCACTTTGATACGTAGTCTGTCTTCGGGAAATGATCTCCGGTAGACATCTGTTTTGCATACTCTCGTTTAACCCTCCCATGTCTCCAGATATCATTGAAGAGATAGGGTCAATTTCCGTAATGTCATATATTTTGATGTCAAACAGTCCATCTTTCGAGTTTTCAAAACAGTAGGCCTGCAATGTTAATAACCAAGCTTTACATCATATTGTTATTATATATTTTATATAATTCCATCTATATCTACTGTTATGGCTCTTAACTATAAAAACTAGTTGTATATTTATATATCAATTGGAAAACAAATCTTTAGTCAATTTGAAAGCCATGGCATTTTAAACAATAAAAAGTTAAAAAGAATGTAATGATAGAAAATAATTGTTGTTTTGATTTGATATAACTTAATATTTAGGATTAATAAGTGATCCCAAATCATTGATTACCTCTTGGTCCATAATAAAAGAAAACATCTGATGTTGTCCAAGTGTCACTGTTAGTTGTAACGGGTTCAAACCTTGTATATTCTCCATTAACCAAATCTTCTTCCTGAGTTTTCTGTTTTGTATCGCGCGTGCACTAGTATCATACGGCGCAGGGTCCTCATTTATCTTCCGGCACATTTCTAATACGTCATTTAGTTTTTCTGGGTATAAATAACCGTATCTGTGAACAGAAATTAAATTATAAACGATATATAAGCTCATATTGTGCTTGAATATAGATGGACATTAAACAACCATATACTCACAGTGAATCTATATGTATAATTTACGCCATGCTATTAAAAAATGTAGTTGATTTGATTTGCGACTACTTATGAAACTATATAGAATTCCTATATATTTTCTTAGACATTCTTATAAATCAGTTCACAAAGTGAAAAGTAGAGGCTACGATAAAAACGAATACTGAGCGTGTTATTTTACATAAAATATGTATGCAGATATATTTGAGGCAAAAATAATAGGCTTAGGTTGTGGTAGAAAATTAATATACAAAAAATGTATTTGTATATGCAATATGTTGATGAGCTTGTTATGCTTAAACCAAGTAATAGATTTTTTTTTCTGTTGTATTTAAATATGAATTAAGTGTATGAGACAAAAATACACACTTTTTTATCATACTTATTTATCTTATAATTTCTCTTTTAAAATGCAAGTTTTACGTTTCACTTGAGCATATTTAATAGGCATCGATCCTGATCGAGTGTACAAACAACTAAAATTATCGAAACTTGAAATAAAAAAAACCCACAAAAATAGTGGCTATTTGATAACAACTTACCTTATCAAGGAATGGCAAACGTTGTCACCTAACGAATTCGTTCCGTCGAGATCAGCCCCTTCATTCAGTAATAAATCAAACATTCCTAAAAAGGGTCAAAGTTATGTAATTAATACTTAATATTTTCAGAACAAAATGTAATGCCTTAAGTTAGATTAAATCGAAGCTTGAAGTAGCTGCTTTGAATAAATTGTTAAAGTCATAGAAAGAATAAAATACTTTTAATTCCTTTATGCATTGAAGAAATTATTTAAATGTATGTTTGAACAAACCTCTATTGAAAGTCAAAGCTGCTATAGTCAGAGGGACTTGTCCCATCATCACAGTGTTCGTGAATACCTGGCCTGTTGCTTTCCTTTTCAGCAGTGTTGATTTCCAGTGCTTTGCGCTTGCCTTGCAAATTTGTTTTAACAATGTTTTGACAAGCCATATATTGCCTTTACATACAGCCATATGCAATGGAGTTTGGCCGGCATATTCCGTACTCTCCCGGTCAAACTTAATCAGTTTTGGATATACTGAAATAAGTAACTCGATTACTTCTTTTTCTTCTTGACTTTTAAACTGGAAAATCTTTATGGCTGTATGTAGCACAGTCTCTCCCTTTCTGTTTTTCTCAACATCTGCAAAAATCGATAAGTAAAAGAAGAATGCCATAAATTAGTATAAACTTTTTTTTTCTTTTCCTAGATCTATAAATATTTGATAAAATTTGATGTTAAACAAACAGTTCCGAGATAGATTAAAGCGAAGTTAAATTATTTTACCTTTAGTAAGACTAGGCAATCTGTCGTGGTCTTTTAGAGCCTTTAAGATGTTTTCAATTGTCTGTAATGTAGATTTTGCCCTCTCCGGATTTTCCGCCATGTCTACTATACAGCCATATATATCCAGTTTATCCGGCACATATTTATATGTTTCTCTCGGCGCATCTTCTATAACTTCTTCAATAACACTTCTCTGTCTTACAGGTCTCGCTTTATATTTTTCTATCGGCGTCTCTTCTATGATGTCTACCATCTTACATGTATATGTTTTACAGGTATCGATATAGCAACCAGACGAACGATGTCTGCAAAATTTATAACAAATCAAAGGGTAGGTGTTATATAATACCTCGCTGTCTGTAACAGGTAGAATATTCATAAGTTTCTTGATACAAAATATGACAAAGTATCTATCTGAGATTTAAGGTACAATGTAACTTGAAAACCGAACAAACGTGGGACTAGCGAAAAAGATCGGGGTTTGGAAGTTTCCAGAATTTTGAAGCTTATTAAATTCATTAAATGGCAAAATTATAGGACTTTTAAAACGTTATAAATAAATTGTATATTTAATTTCATCATCACCTATAACTGAATTTGTTGCATTATTTCATATTGTACCAGCTATTGATAAACTTATATAGTTAAACTTCTCATTTTCTTATTTTTCACACCTTAATCAATTGTTTAACATGCTTGACAAGTTCCTATTGTAATAAATGTCAAGATAAATGCTTTCTGCAAATTGGACGATACTTTGAAGGTTTTACAATCTCAATTATACTATTCCTTCACACCTTTTTCAATTTCCGGATTTAAGAAGTAAATTTAAATTGATATAACACAAATTGTAACGGAAAATCGTTCGCAATTCATAATTTAAAATATCCGGAAAATAGAATGAGCTAGAGAATTTCGGGACCCTGAAAAATGTTCGGATTTCACAAGTTTCTGGATTTTAGAACTTCCAGAATTCAGAAGTTACACGGTATATTGCTTCCAAATTTTCCAATGAACAGCTGGGACATTCGGGAAATCGTTGCCTTGTACTTAAGAAAATAGTTAATATTTTGTTTGGAACCATTTCATTCTGTTTTCTAATGTAATTTAGGTGCGTGAAAAAGTGTGGTTATTTTATTTCTCCATGTATAATGACAGGAGTGTTTAAAACATCGTGTAGTCAAGTGTAGAAAGTGGTCATTGTATTTACATATCGGCAGTTGATAAATGATGTTATAGCTTAAGTTAACATCTATTTTTATGAAAGAAACAAATAAATAACTTACAACTCTAACATTGCAAATTACATTACATTTTAAGAAGTTGACATAAAGCTTAGAAATAATTGAATTTATTCATTTTCAAAATATAATGTGGTTCACAACAATGAGTAAAGATAACGTTTTAAATGAATATTTTTTTGGATGACACCTCAAACTATTATAAAAACTAAGATCTTACCTTACATAAGCAGTTCCTTTAAAATACTAGTATACATTGCTGTTCATGTTTTATTCATATTAAATCAACACAGTCTTTTAAGCAGAGAAATAAAATCAATATATAAGACAAGTTTTGTGTGACTTGTTTTGTTTTTTCTTTCGTTACATTCGTTGCGATCTTTAAGCGTGTAATTTAACTGCATTTAGAGCTCAATACAATTACATAATAACTGACCCTCCACTATCCTTTGATAGTTGGAATCTGATTATATCGCATTTGAGGTGGCCTCAAGTTTGCAAGGCAATCGATCATATCACTGGCTTCAAAATACTTCAAAAACGGAAAAGATTAATCTAGTGTTGATAGAATTTGTTGCCCAACCCATTGTTATGTTATATACTCATCATTTGTATAATATTTTACATCTATGTGCTGCAATAAAATATGTTTTTACTATAAACGGTGACCATGGGAATTTTCAATGAATATTGCTATACTAAAAATATTCCTGATCCGGATTAAAGTTGGCAGCTCATTAAGCATCAGTCATTCGTTGTTAAAATTAAATAAATAAATAGATAAATAGAATTAATTAATTAATTAAAAATAAAAGATGTAAAATTAAAAAATAAAGTTAATTAACATCATTCCTTGGTTGCCCGATGCTGTTTTTGTGGTAAGTCATTCCTTGAAATTCTTATTACTGGAAGGGGAAGGAAACAAAGAATAATTTGGGAACTATTATATTCAAGAGCGATCAGTGATCACATGTGTCGCCTCATGATGGCCAATTTCATGATGGGACAAGTTTTGTGACAGACGGACAGACAGTCGGACAATGCACAACTAGACTTGGTACTGATCATTCCTGTAAAGTTTGGATAAATTGCACCAGTAGTTTATGAGGAGTAGTCTTTTGTGTATCTGGCAACACACAGAAAAAACACCTTTTTATCAAAGGGCCATAACTCGGTCAAAATCATTCAACCAAAAAAACCCGTGCAATATGCGCAAAGACTTGAGCTACAGATCAATCCTGTAAAGTTTCATTGAAATTGCATTAGTGGTATAAGAGAAGTAGTCCGGACAAACTTTCAAAATAAAATTTATTAAAGGGCCATAACTCTGACAAAAATCATTAAACCGAAAAATGCTGACAATATGCACAACTAGACTTAGAACTGATCATTCCTGTAAAGTTTGGATGAAATTGCACCAGTAGTTTATGAGGAGTAGTCCGGACAAGTTTTGTGACGGACGGACAGACAGACAGACAGACGGACGGACAGACGACGGAGAAGTGATCTCTATATGTCGCCACTACTCGGAAGAGGCGACACAAAAATGAAAACGGCTGTAACACGTTTGTCAATTTGTCGTAGGGCGTAGACGTACATTGTAAACTGTTAAATAAATATTGTTATATATCTTTGATATATCTTTTTACTTCACAGTTTCTAATCTATTCCAAAGGACCCATGATTGTCCGTCAATAATTAGAAATGTTGTTTTCGCGGACCAGCTTATCAGCTGCGGCAGTAATATAAGCTCTACCGACTGAGTGAACCCGTGACATACATTTATCAAAACTATGAATGTTTAAAAGATTTTGCGTGTAGCATGAAACTATTCGTCTTTGCAAACTTATATATATATAGGATATGGACGATTTCAGAGCAGAGGAGGATACCGGTATGATAGACAAACAAACGATCAAAGAGCACAAGAAGGAGATTTAAGAAAGCAAGAAGAATCCTCATCGTCAAAAGAAACGCTGAAAGAAAATAAGGACAAAAAGGATGAGAAGAAAGATTTAAACTAGATGATGTCTCTGTTGAGGGGGAAACAGGAGACAAGAACAGAAACCCCTTTCATGAAAAATACATTTTTGATAGAATAGTTGGAACAAGCAATGAAAGTGAAGTTATTGTACATAACAAGTTAACAAAAGGGCTGATAGACACTGGATCAATGGTAACAACAATATCTTCTACATTCTACAAATCCCTTCAACCAATTCCAAAATTGCATTCCATGGACGACTTTGAATTAGATGTTAGATGTGCAAGCGGAGAAAGATTGCCGTACTTAGGTTATATTGAAATATGCATCGAAGTACCATCGCTTACCAAGATAGCTGTTCCAATTTTGGCTCTTGTTGTTACCGACACTGATTACCATCAACGTGTTCCACTTGTAATTGGCACTAATTTGATAAGAGAAATATATCAACAAACAAACCCTAAAGATAACACCAACTTACCTAATTCTTGGAATGTAGCCTTCCACGCTATAACAAGTAATTCAATTGGAGTAGTAAAAGCTACAAAAGATATTAAACTACACCCAATGGAAACGAAAACAGTTATAGGATTTGTCCGAAAGCAACATAACACGTTATCAGCTGTTACAGAACCACTGGAAAATGACTTTGAGAACAGAGCAACAGTTTGTCCCAGAGTCGTCACATTAAACAATGTAGGAAAGACAGCTCGAGTTCCAGTTCGACTGTGTAATATATCAGCAAAGACCATAACGATTTCTGCAAAATCAAATATATGTCAGCTTGAAGAAGTAAATGTCGTTCGAGAGGCTCCGATTTTCACTGATAACAAATCAAATGTAGACATCAAAACATCTGTAGAACCTGAAAAAGAAAATGAAATACATATGAGGAACATAGATATATCTGAAAGAGAAAACATGAATTATAAAAAGAACTTACCTCCATCCGTTGTGACTATACAGCAACAGACATCACCTGAAAAAGAAGAAGAAATAATGAATGAAAACGATGACATTCAACATAATTCAACAACAAATACTTTTGATGTAGACCTAGAAGATACCAATTTAACAGCAGAACAGAAAGAAAAGGTTTTCGATCTGTTTCGAAAATGGCACTGTATCTTTCCGAAGTCTTCAACTGCCTTAGGCCACACTTCAGCCGTGAAGCATATTATAGAGCTAACAGATAATACACCATTTAAAGAGCCATATCGCCGTGTACCTCCAGCACTTTTTAACGAAGTAAGAGAACATCTACAGGAGATGTTAGACAGCAACACCATTAAAGAATCAAATAGTCCGTGGTCATCCAACGTAGTGATCGTACGAAAGAAGAAAAGGCTAGATTGGTATAGACGGGTCAGCTCAACAAAGCCAAGTATGATGAGAGAGCTCGAAGTTCTGTCCTCGCTCCAGGAGACCGAGTTATTGTCAAGAACGTTTCCATCAGAGGCAAACAGAAACTGGCCGATAAATGGGAACATGACCCATACATCGTCATTAGCCAGCCTAACCATGACATACCTTTGTTCCAAGTGAAGCGTGAAGGTGCAAGGTACAAGAAGACAAGAACGCTCCATCGTAATCTCCTTTTGCCATTCATGTCAACAACAGATGCCATTGAAACAGATGAGGACCCGAATACACCTGCCGAAGATCATGTTGCCAACAATACTGAAAGTAGGCCGTATGTTATTCCTATGAGACGGTATACAGGCTTGCCAGGACTCCTTCCTTCTTCAAGACCGAAACGCACATCGAGTGCACCTGATAGATATGGATATTAAACCATGGCTTTATTCTTATTTCTCTCTATTTCAAAACATGTAGTATTGTTTGATTCATGTTGTGTGAATGATTTAGTGAGCATGATTTTCTAAAGAGTGAATACTTTATGTTAGTGTGATTGTTTAAATCAGTTGTTCTTTATTTGAATCAATTATGTTGATTTTTCTTTTTCAGAAACGTTGTAAAACAGAGGCATATCTTGATGGTATTGATAGGAAATGAACATTATATTAGTGCCATTAATTTGCAAATCTTTGAATCATTTCAGATGATCCAGAGAACATCAATTGTATGTGTGTGTGTCGATGACGTTGTAATTATCATTAATCATACCTGTTGTTTTTGTTTGTCATTTCAGGACATGTGCCGAAAATTTTGTTAGAACACTATCCTGATCCTACTTCAAGTACAATTATGATACTTACCAGTACCGTTTTGTTTCAGACAAATTCGACAAGGTAGTTCTATGTCGTTGATATATATAAATACTTTCATGTTGCAAAGAGTCACTTTCATTTCATATGCCATTTCATCTCATCTATCATCATATTTTTCATTCCTTTTATATTTAGGTTTGGAAATAGGTAGGGGGAGTGTGTCGTAGGGCGTATTGTAAATTGAAATGAGTTGTGTTTGAATTGACAAATATATTAAATAGATAAATAATTGAATAAATCATGCGTGTTGTTTTTATTTTTTATTCCCATATTATTATTTCTATTGTCAAAACAGTCCTATAAACCTTTCCTGTATACCTATACAGTAGCCGAATTATCTTTTTCAATCTATACTTTTTCTTTCTTCATAACCTATTACATAATAATAAGTCGCTTTCTATCTAACCTGTGACCCGTTTACATTGTACACGAATGCAATGCTTCATTGCATTCGCCATTAACTCTGTATTATTCATAGACGAACATTGTAAACTGTTTAATAAATATTGTTTATATATCTTTGATATATCTTTTTACTTCACAGTTACCAATCTCTTCCAAAGGACCCATGATTGTCCGTCAATAATTAAAAATGTTGTTTTCGCGGACCAGCTTATCAACTGCGGCAGTAATATAAGCTCTACCGACTGAGTGAACCCGTGACAAATTCCAGTAAAATCGAGTCGATTATCCGTCAGCAAGGACATTTAAATTAAATAACATAAAAAATGGAACAGAATTAAACACTTCAGGTTTTTAATCAATTTATTAGTAGATATTTTTAGGACTTCTTATGCTTCAAAAAGTGTTTAGCAATAGCCTAAACTGACCCAGTTTGCACAAGACTCTGTAATTTTCATTAACAAAATGTCAATACATAAAATAGTTACATTCATCAAACTTACACAATGAAACATACATTGACGGGCACCAAATGTGAATCAACGTTAACGTCTTTCATAAGTTAAGTGAGCGTCGCATTTTCTCAACGTTATTGTCGTTAATACTTACACACTTCTGATGTCTATACACCCACATGTTGAACATGACTACATACCACTCGGGTGAAGATGATCTAATAACTTCACTGGTTGCGCGGCGTAAACTCGAATATCCTCCCGCATTCTCCGGATATACTCGGAAGTTCAAAGGAGCAAGGTCAGAAGAATATGGTAGATGTTCCAACACTTCAAATCCCAATGTCAAGCATGATAGATGTAGCGCATTGTGCGGAAGCGTTGTCTTGGTGGAACACAACAGCACACAGATCTAACCCTGAAAGTTTCCCTGAAATCGTGTCAACAAGGACTGAGCGTAGCACCTGGGAACAGGAATACGACATATGAAAATATCATGCAAATATAATGATATTAGCTTTTTAGCTCGACTTTTATTTTCAAAGAAAAAAATAGAGATATTGTTACAGTTATCCCGGCGTTCCTATTAATATTAAGGTATTGAATGTATAGTCTTCAACCTTCAACCTTAACACAACAGCAAGTAAACCAAACATACCTTGCCCTTCACTCATTAATGACATTGATCCTAAAGGTCAAATTACTGTAATCACCGTAGAACACCGATCATGCATATATAACAAATTGATTTTGGCTTATGTATTACCTTGACATTCAATTGTAAATTATTGAACTTTCACTTATCTTTGCCAAATTGACTATCACTTTAGTATTTAATAAATCAATTATCTTCATACTTGGACAAAACAACTTTTTGGACAAGACTTTCAAAAATGTTGATCTGACCTTTACATTGAGCTTTAAATGACTTTGACCGTCAAGGTCCATATAAGCACAATAAATGGCGATGTTTGACGCTGATGCGGCCTAGCAGATGGTTATCCGATTCTATATTTAGTGCTACGTGTCATCTTAAGAAATTAAAACCTATCAGAATATTTTGCGAACGTTATTATACAAGTGCCATAACAAATATGATATGTATCTGATGTCGAATTTCTTTTAGTACAAACAAAATGCCCATAGTCAAGCGGTCATGAACAGTGGAGAGAATTGAAAAAAATTGTAAATGAAGACAGTCCTCAATATTTCAGACATTTAAGACTGCTGGTAGAAATCGATTGTGCTAAGAATTTTTAAGACAGTACGCGTATGTTCCGAATAAAAAAAGGTGGCTTGACATTTAAAGTGTATCCAATACAGAGGTGAAAAGACTTTGAAAAGGAGAAACATTAATATAATGTTACATATCGTATTTATGACTTTGGATCGTGGGCCACGATAGTCTTATAATTAGTCCTGTATATATAATTATATATATTTGTTCTTGCAAATTAAATGATATCATGCTTGTTTTTCTCATATTTGGTTGTTCAATAATGGCATATTAAATGCCAGTAAAATATTTTTAGAAGTCCGTTGAGTATCTGTTGTCCATGACTTATTGGGACAGCCATCGTATAAATGCCGTTATTCGAAGATCATCATAAAGCTCGCTCGAATATCGTCCAATATCGAAGTCGTCACAGTTGCGTGTATCGTCTTTAAGCGAAGTTCAGTCTTTTGAAAACCGTTCATACCACGTATATACAAAAGATGTGTATAGTCTCCTTGGACGATTTACCCGACCCAGTACAAAATGTTACAACTGCACGTAATTCATCGTCTTTAAAAATGCATAGTTTTGGCGAGACATAAACAATTTTATTTCCTTAACGAATATTGTAATTGTTCACGGAAATAACGTCATGAAAATTCTTGAACGTCTTCTATGTTCGCATTTTTTTCTATTTTGAAAAAATGATGATTTTTTTCGTTAATAATTGAAGAATATAAACTGTAAAAATTGGGACCCGACAGCAAGCAAGACATTGGTTACTATCATTCCCAGTATTTTTATCGTTTATTGAGAACATTCTTTGACCCTCATATTACGTTAATACACACGAACGGTAAATATACAGAGAAAATATTTGAAAATAAAAAAAAGTTACTGCAAAATTCATCGAATTTAATCGAACAGCGCTCGTGAAGGGTTCAACGTGTTTGAATAAACATTATAAACTTGAATATTGTATCATTACTCGTATGAAGATTAGATATAATTTACTACAATGAAAATTTACATACAATTTCATGATCGTGTGTATAATTTTCTTTAAGGGTGGCTAGCTAGCTGGACTTTGACATGTTTTAAAGGGACATACATAATATTATTAAAATGATATGTCTATAAACATATAGCCCTATATTAGAACCATCTCAGGTGTTTCTTTTCGAATTGTTAATTTTACAGACAGATATTCACCACCAAAATGACCTACGTACGTTTATAGTTTAATTCATTAAATGGATATTAAATACCAGATTTTTTTTTCATTCTGTCGAAAGGGGTATTTTAAACTTGTGATGGTTTATGATGTGACATAATTATGAGCGGCGAACGTGAACATTTTTTCTGATTAATTTATCAAACTACTAATTGCTCCACAGTCTCTAATATAAAATAATCATGTTTTGATAACACACAAGTAAGATGTATTATGTTTTAAACGCTACATACTGTAGGTAGACACAATAAGAATATATAATGTCATTAAAAAAAACTGGCAGTTTTTTTTCAAGAAAGGACCAACTTTACTTGATCTGTAATAGGATGTGCAGCTTCCCACACACAGTTTGTACATTCTTTTATTAAAATTAGACATATTCAGAAAGAAATTAATAGATTTCAATTAATGTCTGGGATAAAAAATATTATCTCTAAGATGAGCATAGTTTATGTTTAATTCACTCAACTAAACAATATATCAAATGTTTAAAAGACTTCTATCTAAAAGAAGTGATATAAAAGATAACCAATCAATCAATTAATCAAGCAAGCAAGCAAGCAACTGTTTTAAAGAATTTCTATCTAAAAGAAGTCATATAAAGTTAAATCAATCAATCAATCAATCAAGCAATCAAGCAAGCACACAAGCACAAAATCAGGTAAACTCACAATCAGGCAAGCAAGAATCCACAAAATAAATATATAAATGTATAGGTCAATCAATCAACATTCTTATAATTTTAACCTTATAAAACATAATAACCGATCCCTTTATTGCAATGTTGTAACATACATGTAGGCTGCATTTACATGTGAAAGTATGGATAAACAAATAAACAATATTCGACTATCATAGTGATATAAATGCCAGTAAATGTCTTTCCTAATAACCAAAGATTTTTATCTAAAGTTTCAACACTTTTGTGTGGCATAGTGAAAAATCTTTTGCCCTTTATGAACAAAAAATGGTGAAAAATTACTTGGGTATGCGTCTATGTAGAGAAATAGATGTTAATATAGGTAATGAATACACAAAACGTTGAAATATGTAAAGCGTCGGTAGCAGACGACTCGAAAGGTTAGGTGTGAAGCATATTGAAAATATTATACACTGTATTCTCATATTATAATAACAAGATACATATTTATTAGAGATAGGTGACCAGTATTATATATAATGCAAAATATCCTTAACGGATTTGATGATCACAGTCACGAGTGACATCGCTGACAGAGCATTGTCTACAAAGATTAACATGGTATATGTCAATCTCAGCTTGTCTTGGATTTCTCGCAGCAAAGCCACCATTTGGAAATCCGTTATCCGCAGCCATTGGATTCAAGCCAAAAACATGTGATACAGGCGGCTGAATTTGTACCGGTCTTTGTTCTGACGGTTCTAGAATATGATCTTGCTTGTCATCATCAGCATCTTTTTTCTTTGCTTTCTTTTTGCTCATTTTCCTAAATGCGTGTCGAATTTTATCACTGATACCAGAAAGAGGCCTGTCTGTTGAGCCTCGCTTGTTGTTTTTGAGAGCATTAAATACAGCAGTCCTGAATCCCCAGCTTGTAGAAATCGTTCCTTCTTCACAGCCATCTCCGTCCTCATTCTGTAAGGATCGCACTTCAAGCATGTATCTTTTCATTTTTCTTCTTCGGTGCATAGTGTTATTATATCGACTAACTTCCTGACATTCACCCGCTTTGAATACAAATCTACCGGGAAGAATACTTTCAAAGAAAAGAATCACAGATAACTTTTGAAGCTTCCAATGTCGCTCTCTTGTTCTTACATTTCCAACATTTTCTACCAATTCCATACACGTGCGAGACATCATTGCTATAAGTGCATTCAGCATTAGCAAAGTGGTCATAACGATAAAGCCCACCAGTATGATGATACACAACGTTGGATGACGAGTATCATAGATTGCGACCAAGTCTCCGACACCTACCATCAAGCTAAACATAGAGAATATTGTCCGCCAAATGTCCCGATAATCCGTGGATTCCGCAACACTCGACCCTTGAATCGCCATATACATAGCGGTAGCGAAAGCAAGTATTTCGATACCGATTATGACAAAGAAACGTGACATGTCTATAATGAGGACTTTTTGTATCATAACCGTGAAGAAACTGAACGGTTTGATGGCTCTTATGAAAAATATTTCCAAAAACCATCCGAGTACCATAGCTACTATTAGTAGATAGTTCTCGTAGTAAACAAGGACAATGGCAAGGATAAAGTCAATAATGAGGCAAAGTCCGAATAAAACAAACATAACACGAAACCAGCCACTGCTGTAAGGATTCAAGAATGAGTTCAGAGTCCACGGCATTCTTTTTTTGGTCATACGCAACACCTCCTGAGCAAGGTATACTACTGAAACTATTATGCATATAGTGCCATATGTAGTAACAAATGGATCATATGGTAATTTCTTTGTAAAGACGGGTGGACTGCTGACACTGAAAAGCCCTTGGGAATTATGGTTTTGTCTCGATCTCTCAACACAATACCATGTATGAAAAAACATAAATATCGTATGAAATATCCACCAAGGGTAGAAATATTTTCTGTATGCATTCCACTTCTGGTTGACGACCCTCATTAATGGAGGAAACAAAATGAACTGAAAAGCGACAGACGGCTCCAGATCGAAAAGCATCATAAGGACAGACTTTCGAAAAGGTTCACTTTGATACGTAGCCTGTCTTCGGGGAACATTCTCCGGTTGACATCTGTTTTGCATACTCTCATTTACTCCGCCAATGTCTCTAGATTTCATTGAAGATATAGCGTCAATTTCCGTAATGTCATATATTTTGATGTCAAACAGTCCATCTTTCGAATTCTCAAAACAGTAGGCCTGCAATATACATAACAATTTTTTTACATCTTATGGTTATTACATATTTAATATAATTCCATATATGTCTACTATTATTGTTCGTTACTGTAAAAAATACTTATGTATATGTAAGTCATAAAACACCGACTTAAATATTGGAAAACAAGTCCTTTGGTAATTTGATAGCCACAGCATATTAAAAAAATACAAATTAAAAAAATTATAGTGATAGAAAATCATTTTTTTTCTTGATATCTTAATATTTATGATTAAGTGGTCACGAATCTTTTATTACCTCTTGGTCCATAATAAAAGAAAACACCTGATGTTGTCCAAGTGTCACTGCTAGTTGTAACGGGTTCAAGCCTTGTAGATTCTCCATTAACCAAATCTTCTTCCGAAGTTTTCTGTTTTTTATCGCTCGTGCACTAGTATCATACGGCGCAGGGTCCTCGTTTATCTTTCGGCACATTTCTAATACGTCATTTAATTTTTCTGGGTATAAATAACCGTATCTGTGAACAGAAATTGAATTATAAATTATAAACGGTATAAATGCACATAATGTGCTTGAATATAGATGAAAATTAAATTACCATATCCTCACAGATGTTTTTTTTTTTTGGTTCAAATAGACATCATGTTATGAAATACACGAAGTATCACAAAACGTCCGTTGATTTGATCTATGACCACTTGTCATACTATATTGATGATGAATGCATCATAAATGAGGAAATCACGAAAGCTTCCAAGAAGCCATGAGTAAACAGATAATATCATCTATGAATAATTTAACATAATGTCTCTCAAATAATTCACCCATTAAATTCATTATTTAACCATATACTTGATAAGAAGAAATTTCCCAAGTCATGGGCAACAGTTGTATTATTCCCTTGCGTAAGAAGTGCAATAGTTCAGATCCCAACAGTTGTAGAGGATTTATACTTACTATATGTTTACAATTATATTAAAGGTGCACGCCTCCAGATTCATGGTAATTTTTAAAAAAAAATTGAAATGTATTTAAAAGTATAATATTGTGAAGTTACCAAAAGAATGCAATTGCACATAATCAATCGCACTTGTGTTACTTACCATCAAGAGGTCAAATATGCAAAAAATTCCGTAACTGCGTTAGTACCGCATAAGAAATATAATTATAAATACAGAAAAATCGGTCATAAATTGCACATAACATGTAAGTTATTGCTATAATTTTTAATCTTTATACTTTTCCTAAAATCTTAGTACATTTTTTCAGGTTTGATTTTATCGAAATGTTTTAGCTCATCTGGAGGCGCACAGCTTTAAAGGAACGACTGAGGCTGAAGACAACTGTATATTGTCAGATACGCAATTTAGTTTTAAAAAGGGTACATCACAACTAATCCTGTTTTTATCTTACATTCATTTAATATAAAATTACATATGAACCATCGTTATAGAATATATTGAAAATATTAAATTTTAGAAATGTCTAAGCCAAAATAAGACTGTCCTAGCACAAACATAATTTCGAGTTAGGAAGACTTAATGATATACCAAGGAATGAACGAAAGGGCACTTTATGTTTTATAACTTACACAGGAGACGAATTTCATATATATATATTCTGAGCTAAAAACATAACATTTTTCAAAATGCTATTGATGCAACACGGGTATGATTAAATTCATTTCATTAATGTGAACCGATTGTAAGAAAGAACTTAAAAGAATATCTGTATTCTTTGATAAAGCTTTTAAACTGAGGGACAGTTTGTTATAATATACTGACTTGTAAGGTTTGTCGTCTTTTTCTTTCTTTTTTGTACAATTTTTAAATACATAACTATCATTGTCACTGTTAAATACCCATTGTTCATTTTGTTTTGGATTTATATTTGTATCTTCTCAATAACGTATTTCATATACATGTATCATGTAAAAATGAATTTAATTTCTGGTATTGATCAGAATTATTAAAGGGAAGTAAATGCTAAAATATTTGTTGTGTAAAGTTACTTTAGTTATTCCCTTTATTTGTCACAACCACTTTTTTCAAAACTGCGGTTTTCTTTCTATGGATTCTATTGATCGGTATAACCGAAAATCCCAAATATAAAACAAAATGTATCGTTAGCTTAATTTGATAATGTTAGAAAACGACAGACAAATTCTTCAGCGTTATGTAAAATTATATCATATATATTATATATATGTTCAAATGCTTTTATAGTTATTCTCTGTTCATTAAACATTCTCACATTTGATAAGCCGTATTTTTTCAGTTATGTAAGTTAATGTCATGTGTCATTTATGTAGCATATATTATATTTGTTTATGCAATATGTTGATGAGCTTGTTATGCTTAAACCAAGTAATAACACTTTATGCTACTGTATATAAAATATGAATTATGTGTATGAGACAAAAGATACACACTTGTCATACTTATATTTGAACTTATTTTATAATATCTCTTTTAAAATGCAAGATATACACTTCACTTGACCATTTTTAATAGACATCGATCCTGGTCGAGTGTACAAACCACTGCAATTATCTAAACTGGAAATAAAAAATGCTATTTGATTACAACTTACCTTATCAGAGAATGGCAAACGTTGTCACCTAACGAATTCGTTCCGTCGAGATCAGCCCCTTCATTCAGTAATAAGTCGAACATTCCTAAAATGGATCAAAGTTATGTAATTAATACTTAATATTTACAGAACTAAAGGTAAAGTCTTAAGTTAGATCAAAGCAAAGCTGGAGGTAGCTGCTTTGAATAAGTAGTTAAAGTCATAAACTGAATAAGATACTTTTAATTCCTTTATGTTTTCAAATGATGCATTGCAGAGATTGTATAAATGTATGTTTGAACAAACCTCTATTGAATGTCAAAGCTGCTATAGTCAGGGGGACTTCTCCCATCATCACAGTGTTCGTAAATATTTTGCCTGTGGCTTTTCTTTTCAGCAGTGTGGATTTCCAGTGCTTTGTGTCTTTTTTGCAGAGTTGTTTTAACAATGTGTTGACAAGCCATATGTTGCCTTTGCATACAGCCATATGAAATGGGGTTTGGCCGGCATATTCCGTACTTTCCCGGTCAGACAGAATTAGTTTTGGATATACTGAAATAAGTGATTGTGTTACATCCTTTTCTTCTTGACTTTTAAACTGGAAAATCTTTATGGCTGTATGTAGCACAGTCTCCCCCTTTCTGTTTTCCTCAACATCTGGAGAAATAAAAACGTAAAAGAAATGTGCCATAATTAGTATAAAATACAAAAATGTACGCATTTTCCTACATTTATGTATATTTTATGAAATTTAATGTTTAACAAACAGTTTCAAATTAGATTAAAGCGAAGTTAAATGGTTTTACCTTTAGTAAGATAAGGCAGTCCGTCATGGTCTTTTAGATCTTTTAAGATTTCTTCAACTGTCTGAAGTCTAGTTTTTGCCCTCTCCGGATATTTCGCCATGTCTTCTATACAGCCATATATATCCAGTTTATCAGGCACATGTTTATATGTTTCTATCGGCGTCTCTTCTATGATGTCTTCCATTTTACATATATGTCTTACATGTATCGATCTAGTAACCAGGCGACCAATGTCTTCAAAAGTTATCACAAATCAAGGGGTAAGTGTTATATTATACTTCGCAGTCTGTAACAGGAAAAATATTCATTAATTTTTTATACAAAACACGCAAAAGTCCATAGAATAATGTTTACATATTTTGCGATGAACAACTGGAGTATTTGCTAAATCACTATATCTAGTACTTACAAAAGTAGTTTTAGTTCTGTAAGGGAACATTTTATCTTGTTTCTAATGAAATTCATGTGGTTAAAAACTGAGATAAGTTCTTCTCACGATGTATCATACATGAGTATTGAAAACAACGTGGCTGCTAAGTTCTGAAATTTGACATTTTTTATACTTTTCGCAAGTTAATTAATAATTATAGCTTAAGTAAACACATATCTAATGAAACAACAGAAAATAAAACATCGACAAAGAAATAACTAGCACTTCTATATATAAAATTGCATTTAACATATAGATCTAACAAAGAATATGAGAAGTTAGGACATCATTGAATTTATTTCACTGACATTTTTTCAATATAAAATGTTGTTTATAAAATGATTAAAGATGTCATATTAAATGAATTACTTTATCATATGAAATCTTAACATATGTTACAAAACTCTTGGATCTTACCTTACAAAAGCAATTCCTTAAAAACTATATTTTTAACGTTTTATTTATTACTAATCCATACAATATTGTAAAGAGAAAAAATAAAACCTTCAATGACTAAGACAACATTTGTTTTACTTGTTATGTTCTTTCTTTTGTTTTAAACGTTGCGGTCTTTGAGCGTCTAAATCGAATGCAGTAGGGCGTTTAATTGCGCATTTCGTTATTAACGGACAGACCGAACTATTCCTTTTTGTTTTTGATAAAACACCGTTATGATTTTGCCATTCAAAACCCTTCCTTTTTGTAGATCTCATTTCTTTTTACCTCTCTATTACATAGAACGAAGATCATTCCTTATACATTATTATGATAATAATTTACGATCGCATACTTGTTTTTTTCTCTCTTTTTTTAAAGGATTAATTCAATTTTCTCCTTTCTCCTTATTCAAGTGCACATACCGTTTCAGTCATTTACGGTCAGAGAGGTTACTTAAACTACAACACCAATCTTTTACCACTCATTTGGAGTTCCCTTACTCAAAGAAGAATTAATATTTGCCTGCAACAGATTCATTTTGAATGCTTTGGGTGTTCCTATTGGGTTCTATTTTATCTTATTTTGAGTTAGTTCTTATGATAAAGGTATTTTATCATTGCAGGCTAGTGTTCATTTATGTTTGATACCTCTTTAATTATTATATGATTACATGTAACACCGGACTGCATAATAAGCTTTTATTTGCATCTCGATATATTTATATCAAAGTAATTGATAACCATTACACATTATTTTCCCTCATCTTATACATGTTCATTCTTTCAACAGTGCACCATAAATATCTTCTAACTATAAAACTTAAGTAATTTAAGTATATTTTAGTTTAAAGGGACTCCACTATGTTTTTTTCACATGACAGAATTGAAAATAATTACTCGAGATTAATGTACTACTTGGGGTAGATATAGACCAATAACTTATATGTAAATTTTCAGATCATTCGCTGTCTCCGTTTAAATGTACGTGGTTCAAACTTCTGTTTTGAGATATTTGGGCTTCAGTGAAGTTCTTTCAAGAAGTATATAAAACATCCAGGCAAAATATTGAATAAATTACGCAAAAATGTTTCAGCAAAATTCTACACAGTTATTTTCTAATGAGTTACATCAGACAGCAAATTATTTAATAGCCTTTTCATGTCTTTGTTAAGTGATATAGATTAGGAAGTATTGTTTAAACGTTTCTCGATGATTTTCAATACATTTTATAGATTATACCAATGATAGTGACATTTTGATACTATTCAATTCAATACGCATTGATCTTCTCATTAGCCATAATTCCATAGACCATTAACCCCTTTATTACCTGTATAATTTGACATGTATCTCTTTAATGCGTTTCATGCTCTACATTATCTTAATCAAGTTTACATTTTTCACTTGTTAGTTTCCGCTATTGATGTACATATTCGACTGTGTCCAGATACACCTGTAACTACTCACTATATAATATAAGGTAGTAATGTCACCAGGTTTGATACTTTAGCCATTTAATGCTGAGGGGCATTTCAAAGCAAAGTTTAGAAGTTTAAACTGAAGGGCATGTCGCTATAATTAAAACTTTCTAAGTACGATGAAATCATTTTAATAATATTATACATTATTAAATTTGATATACCGGACTAATAATTAATGTAAATACAAATTTTATCTTAAAACTATTACGCAGAGCTCGAGAAGATTCTGTTAAAATTATTGTTTTATTTGACTTGTTGGATGAACTATGGTATACGGATTTAGAAAAGTGGGAAAGTATTGTATCCTCGTAGGTAAGTCTGATATTGCCATTTAAATACATTTAAAGACCTCCGCTGAGATCTTGAAGCCTAAAAAAATCTTTGGTATAACAACCGGGGCACTAAAAACAGAAATATATGTAAAAGATAATTACATTAAAAAAAACACGACAATACTATTAAGAATGATTTTATAAGATAAACAACATGTTAAATTAAATTTGCATTTTAACTATCTATATAATATAATTGACACATCTTTTAAGACCTATTAAAGACACAGAATAAATCATGATTGTAACGTTAAAAAAATAAGTGTTTTTTTAAAACATAACGTTTAGAAAAAAATAAAAATGATGTGTTAAAACAGCATGATATTATTAAACTTATTGAATTAAACGTGGTTAAACAACATATAAAGTATAAGATATTTAAAAGTTTATTAATTGAAACATGCTGAAACAATATGAAAAATAAGAAGTTGAAAGTTTTTAAAAGAAGCATGGTTAAAAAAGAACATAAAGTATAAGTAAATAAAGGTTTATAGATTGTGTACACAGAATATACAGTTATTGTTATGTTGACTATAGCATATGTGATATTTGATTTAAATACCCCTATGTGAATACCGAAACTAAAAGTGCAACGGGAGAATGTTGGTTGATACATTGTGAAGTATAAGGCAATTTATATTTTTTTCTATTTTCAGCGACTGTCTTGATTATTTTCAACATAGCAGGTGTTTGGATATACGAAGGTTCTTACAGACGTAATAGTATGTTTGTCATCTTCATGTTTTTTTTGTGTGTCCGTGATGATTTTTTATTTGAACGTTTTTTTCCTTTAGGAAAATATCGAGACCATCAAAACAAAAACATACTTGTGGTTTAATATCGTCGACTCTGTTTGTTTTAATTGAGTCTTTATGTCACGGTTCAGAACAGTTCACTATTTTGGGAAGAAGATGTTTTAGCGGATGGATAGCTCAGTCGGTAGAGCCACGGAAAGGTATTCCAAGTGTCTCGTGTCAGACTGCACATTTTCTCACCCTGTTAAATTTGGCGCCCAACGGGGAACCGTGACAACATATAAAGGTCAGAGAAAAAATCACATTACTCTCTAATCATTAGACGTTCGAGGACGAATTTCAGTAAAGCGGTAAGATCATGTCACGGTTAAGAACTGTTCGATGTTTAAGGGAGAAGATGTGTGAGCGATCGGATAGTCCAGTAGGTAAAGCCATAGAACGGTATTCCGAGGGTGCCGGTTTTTAGTCACGGTCAGGGTCAGGGTCAGGATGCACCATATGTGACATGAGACGAGAGAAAATTGCGCCCCATGTACCTGGTTTAGCTATATTTTATCTATTTAATCCTTGAACACAACAAATATATTTAAAACATATGATGGAATCAATAATCACAAAGAACCGAATGATTTAACATTATTGTAATTAAGAACGGGGCAACTTCAAAAGCTGCAATACAGGTCACAACTCGTTCTGGAAAATGGAGGCTTCTCTGAATAATTACACTGTGTGAGCACATTGTGTAAATATTTATGTCATCAGAATAGATAAAACTTGGATATTTTGATTAGACATAATCGCTATAAGTAAGATATTTACATGTTTATCATAACATTGTGTAAGATATCAGAGACAAATGATCTAACAAAGAAAGTAAGCACCATCAGTTTACAATGCAGAGAAGCATACCAGAGACAAAGGTACGTGAACATAAAAAATAAGGATTATCTACGTCATGTAAATGTAGAAGATTTCTAGAGATCAGTTGATTGCCGAAAATAAACAAAAAGGAGGGGAAATTTCATCTTGGTAAAACTCTGTCATTGTGGATCTTAAGATAATTTGATGGTTTAAGTTTCCATGACCCCCGGCAGTTAAGGGTAACTTAATGTTCTAAGATACTTTAAAGCTATGAAATCTTAATGAAAATTTGATAGAACGAAGCTAGATAGAAAATCTTTGTACATAAATGATGTAAACTTTATGATCACAGAAAAGCCATTTGACCGCCACCTTTGTCCATTAAAGCATTTATCAAAATAAAATATAAACATATATATTGGGAATCTCTTTAAGACAGTAGTAAAATATTAGCAACTCAGATATTGATATTTAAATTGAAAAATACGCACGCAGTTCAAAATATGAAAAAGGCGATCACTCAGACACAAAGAAAAGAATAAAATTACTTGAAGATTGTAGACTCGGTTTAATTGAGTCTGTTCATGATGGAAAAGTACAACATCCCTTTTAGAGCCACAGCTGTACAACCTAGCATAGTGTTGGGCGTACTTTACGGTGTTTTAGTTTATAAATTATTCGACTTACTTATCAAATATTCGAAATGTGATATTAATGGCATTGTGCGTTTTTATTATAAAACTGGTCGTATATAGCATAAAACATAAACTTTATATATTTGTGTTTAAGATTGTTGATAATGTACTAGATCTATATATATAATAATTTATATGACAAAAATTATAATGTGAACTTTTTCAGGTCTTCTAACGTGCGAACGGGAAAACAACAATATTCTATCCTCTACAGATAAGCATATAGAAGGTAATATTTGAGCCGCGTCATGACAAAACCAACATAACGGGTTTGCGACCAGCATGGATCCAGACCAGCCTGCGCATCCGCGCAGTCTGATCAGGATCCATGCTGTTCGCTTGCAAACCCTATAACAAGTAGAGAAACTGTTAGCGAACAGCATGGATCCTGATCAGTCTGCACGGATGCGCAGGCTGGTCGCAAACCCATTATGTTGGTTTTGTCGTGACGAGGCTCATATTTTGTTACTTTGTAGAATAAGTAAAACAAATCTGGAAACAAAGTGATCCATCGGAAGCACTAATTACATCAAAATTACATGAAAATTGCTGACTAGGTTAGATTGAGTCTGTACATGAGGGATAATGAATGAGTACAACATCCCACACGCCCCCTAGCACCGGCTTGAGTGATACTCAATTCTCAACACTTAATAGTGCTGGCATCAATGATCCTGGAGGACCAGATAAACGGGTAGAACATTCCAGTCTTATTAAAATGAGAACAGCGTTAAAAGTTATATTTCTTTAAATTTAAAATGAGATGTGCATAAAAAGTGTTAATATTCTTAACAATGAAAATTGGATCTGCATGCTCAATCCCCGTGACATCTATTTCTCTCCCCTATCCCTCTAATTCAGAACATATCCATAGAAATTGATAATTACTAGTTAGTTATCCAGGAAAGACCGTAGACCGAACGCCGAGATGTTACCAATTATGAAGTTAGTATAAGTTCATTACAAACAAGTTAAAGTTAGGAATTATTTCGTTGTCTTAGAAGCAAATGAAAGTGTTTATTCATTTGAATTAGAGATGTTTTTATTAATTTTTTTTTTTTAATTTTTAACATCTTTTCTTTGTTAGGTAAATCTTACGACATTTTAATCAATTCCTACATGCGTAGTGGATCAAGCTTCATGGGTCGTTTACTTGCCTGGCACCCGGATACATTTTACTGGTATGAACCTTTGTGGAATTATGACAGCGGCGTATATTATTGGGGAAAGGATTTGCTTTGTGTTGGAAGAAACATGTGTGGGTATGAATATATTTCATTTACTTATTATGATTGAGAAAGCAATAATTTAATAGTTATTTTAGGTAATCACTTCATTTAAAAAGTTTAACTTAATGTAATTCGGAAGTAATAATGGAGACAATAGTAACATTTTAAGAAAAGATACATTTAGTTTAAAGGTCATTCATTGCGGTACAAAAGCCTGAAATATGACATTTGGAATTCTTACATAATTCAACTTGGGCACATAAAATGGAAAAATATATCGAAAAATAATAAACACAGAATCATTTGAAATTCGATTAATTTTCATGCAGTTTTTTTCGGTTACTTGAGGGTCATTTTGCAGAATAAAATTATTTTTCTGGATACAAAAAACAACAACAACAACCCCCCCCCCCCCCAAAAAAAAAAAAGTAGAGAGAGCGAGATCTGGAAATTTGTGCGCTAGTTATTTGTTCAGACCTGCGAACCGTACAGAAATCTTGAAAAAATATTTTTAGTCACGTAATGCAACATCCCCCTACCCCACCGCACCTAAAATATAAAAAACTATCTTAGTGGAGATCTATAATTATACATCCATATAGCATAGCATCATTAATGTTGTTTTATTTTTTTTATATCTGTTGACCATGAACACTTGGTGACATAAGTAGATACCAATCAGTAATGAAATTTATTAGTCTTTATCAATTTCTCCGATACTTTATAACACTGGAGTAAAACTGCTCTTTAAAATTGATGTAAAACACTTGGATCATTGCTTTCAGGCTTGCCAAAAACAAGACAAGGCACAATCTTGGTCGTGTGTATGCTACATTTGACAATATATATAACTGTAATTTGTCAGTACTTTCTGCTGCTATGACAGAAAATATCACACTTATTCATTCTGGTACGTTCTCAAATTCATTCTTGAAATAAAATGTTTTAGCATAATTGTTAAAATTATAAAATATACATGTATGCAATGCATTAGTCATTTCTTTTGATAGAAAAATAAATACATATGTTTATAACAATGCTTAATTCAGAGTGAATATTAAATTTAATTAAATGTTTGCTTCTTTTTGCTGCGAAAAGATAGGAAAATATGAAAAAGTAAATTTGTTAGCAAATATAGCATGCCTTAGTTATTATTAAATCGTACGCTATACCATATTTAAGCATTGATACTATTTCTGAATAAATACAACATACAAAATATACCCACCCGAAAAATTTTAAAGACTGATAGCACTTTTGCAATTTGCGCTTAATCTAATTCTAGACAATATATTACAGGAAAAATATGGCAACCATATAAAGAATGCAGGAAGAAGAAATTGTCTATTTTAAAATGCTTACAACAAATGGAACAAGTTTGTAAGTCTTCAAAACACAAAGCTACGAAAACTGTCCGACTGACTTTAGATAACTTAGAATCAACCCTAAAGACAAATCCAGATGTTAAACTGATTCACCTTTTCAGAGATCCACGTGCAATTATGAACTCAAGACTTACTACAAAGTGGTTTGGTTTGAAGGAATTACGTTTCAACGATTATAAGCTACTGCAAGAAGATGCTACGGATTTGTGCAATAGAATGATTCACGACTTTATAGCTGGTATTCACCTGAAACAGAAGTATCCTCAACGGTTTTCTTTTGTGATGTTTGAAGACCTTATGGATGACAAAACAAAAAAGTCGAAAATACTTTTTGAATTCTTTGGGTTAGAAATGAGGATAGATAAGGATTTATTCAAGGCAGTGCCGGTGCCCACAGATGACTATAAGTTCACTCGAAGAAAATCAAAGAACTATGCAGATTGGTGGAGATTACAATTAAGTGTTGGCGCTTTGGACATTATTGATAGATCTTGCATTAATGCTTTGGAATGTTTAGGCTACAAACGATTCTTTACTGAAGAGAATTTACGCAATCTATCAATAAAAGCTTATGACTTTCAAAACCAGTACAAGTTACAGAATATCTTGAAGACAGATCACTACGAACTGTGATCGCTTTCATGACAAACGACAAGAATATGTTTCCGTTGAGGCATGTGCTAGTTTGCCATAAAAAAAGATAACATGTCTAAAATTCTTTGCGCAATTAAGAAATATTATGGCTAACAGAATCCATTCCATATATGTAATTGAAAATACAAAACGCAGCACAAATAAAAGCAACAACAAAAACATGCTACTCACGTATACATACAAGCGTAAATTATAACTGCAGTTACAGTTTATAGTCGATACTCCATGATTTTACTATCTATCCTTGATCTATTTCTCTTTAGTTTAAAAACGGGGATGTTTTTTGCTTAACACTGGGTTGTTTAAGTAGAAAGTTATCTTACCAAGCAACGGCAGAATATGTACAACCGGTCATGGATACATCGCTTCAAACTATAGATATACAACTGCCAAAGAGCTTTCTTACCTTTATCAATATAAATACAATAAAAGGCTGGCCTATGTCAATGATTGATGTATTTCATTCAACTGGTCTGTTATATTATTTGGAAATGCCTAAATATTTTATAAAATGTTATATATCAATTGAAAATGAACACTCACCAAGTAAGACAACTATAAATAGATGACCTACTTATAAAAATGAAAATGTTCAAATAGTATATGTCATACATAAGCTGATATGTCAATAGAAAATGAACTTTCATCCAATATATTAACTTCACAGATTGAACAATAAACTGATGCTGTTAGTAAGGTATATTAATTTTGTATTCAATTAAATTTGTCCTTCTGATGTTATATTGTATCTTTTTGTACAATAAAATTTCACAAATGAGATTGTTTTGTTATATAGAGAAAGCAATTTTTGTGGAATTTGGTTGGTTTCCGTGTATCGTCGATTTTCACAAGACAAAAAAAAATCACGTGATCTGCTAAGCGATACAAACTTTAGTTTAGTTGCCCTGTACAATTGCAATTCTAATTTTAATAAAATATTTGGATCTATCCTAAAATCATTTATTTATGATCATATAAAAGTGGCATTTTTGTATTGTGTTGAACGTTATGAGCTGCGTTTAGAAACCCTTCTGCATAAACCGTATGGTTATTCTGGCAGGGTTGTTTGAGCTTTGTGTGAGCAACCAACGGTGTTATTACTATCTAATGTTTTCTGATGTCAAATTAGTCCACGATGATCCACGATAAATCTCACACAACCCACGATGACAGTCCTATCAAATGGTTTCTGAACTCAAATAATCCAAGGTTGATAGTCTCAGGGAATACAGCAGAGCTCACACAACCCACGGTGATAGCCGTATCTGATGTTTTCTGATGTCAAATTAACCCAAGGTAATAGCCTCAGTGACTACAAGAAAGCTTACACAGCTTCCGATGAAAGCCCTATCAAATGGTTCTTATCTCAAATTAATCCACGATGTTAGCCTCAGGGAATAGACTTAAGCTCACACAACCCACTATGACAGAGATGTGTGAAGTTGGCGGCCCAGCGGCCTGGTGGCGTGAAGTTGGCGGCCCAGCGGTATGGCGGCGTGAAGTTGGCGACCCAGCGGCCCAGCGGCCTGGCGGCGTGAAGTTGGCGGCCCAGCGGCCTGGCGGCCAAACATTTTCATGTTGTAGAAATGTTATTTTAACACTAAAACGGCATTTAATGAAGTTTTAAAGATAATTATTGTTATTTAAAGGATATTTAAAAAGAAAAATCACTTTCAGAGAACTTTTTTATTTTCTCAATTTTGTGAAGTTGGCGGCCTGGCAGCCCAGCGGCCTGACGGCCAAAAATTTTGATGTTGTAGAAATGTTATTTTAAAAATAAAACGGCATTTAATGAAGTTTTGAGGATAATAAGTGTTATTTAAAGGATATATATAAAAAATCACTTTCAGAGAACTTTTTTATATTCTCATTTTTGTGAAGTTGGCGGCCTGGCAGCCCAGCGGCCTGACGGCCAAAAATTTTAATGTTGTAGAAATGTTATTTTAACAATAAAACGGCATTTAATGAAGTTTTAAAGAAAATTATTGTTATCTAAAGGATAATTCAAAAGAAAAAGTCACTTTCAGAGAACTTTTTTATATTCTCAATTTTTGTGAAGTTGGTGTCCCAGCGGCCTGACGGCCAAAAATTTTAATGTTGTAGAAATGTTATTTTAACACTAAAACGGCATTTAATGAAGTTTTAAAGATAATTATTGTTATTTAAAGGATATATAAAAAGAAAAAATCACTTTCAGAGAACTTTTTTATTTTCTCATTTTTGTGAAGTTGGCGGCCTGGCAGCCCAGCGGCATGACGGCCAAAAAATTTAATGTTGTAGAAATGTTATTATAACAATAAAACGGCATTTAATGAAGTTTTAAAGATAATAAGTGTTATTTAAAGGATATATAAAAAGAAAAAATCACTTTCAGAGAACTTTTTTATTTTCTCATTTTTGTGAAGTTGGCGGCCTGGCAGCCCAGCGGCCTGACGGCCAAAAATTTAAATGTTGTAGATATGTTATTTTAACAATAAAACGGCATTTAATGAAGTTTTAAAGATAATAACTGTTATTTAAAGGATATATAAAAAGAAAAAATCACTTTCAGAGAACTTTTTTATATTCTCATTTCTGTGAAGTTGGCGGCTTGGCAGCCTAGCGGCCTGACAGTCAAAAATTTTAATGTTGTAGAAATGTTATTTTAACAATAAAACGGCATTTAATAAAGTTTTAAAGATAATTATTGTTATTTAAAGGATAATTCAAAAGAAAAAATCACTTTCAGAGAACTTTTTTATTTTGTCATTTTTGTGAAGTTGCCTGGCGGCCAAAAATTTTAATGTTGTAGAAATGTTATTTTAACAATAAAACGGCATTTAATGAAGTTTTTAAAATAATTTTTGTTATTTAAAGGATATATAAAAAGAAAAAATCACTTTCAGAGAATTTTTTTATTTTCTCATTTTCCATAGGGAACGAGCCTTGGCGTTGGGATTTCCCTACCCTCTATCTAACCAAATGGTTGATTGTTTTTCTCACTCACCTGGACACATAAATATCAGTGAATCTACTTGCTAAGCGCATTACAACGTACCTAGTTTTGAAAAGCGAGGGCTTAGGCGCCTGACTTTCTAGTACGTCCGCAGAAATTCTACTGACCAAGTTTATGTGTGATGCAAGGTTATCATGATAAAACACATCAATATTAAAGTCGGAAAGTGTCATAATATAAGTGTTTATAAGGAATTCAGTCGGTTGACAAAAAGCGTTTACCGTTTACAAAGCTGTTTCTACTTATTTGGTTATTTTGGCCGAATATTCAATTAAATTATATCAAAATGAGATTCGTCATTAAGAAGCATCTATTATTGAGAGATAATAAATTATAAACCCTTTCATCATTTCCGATAGAGGACTTTTTCTGTTCTAATGTTGTTTGAAACCGGTTTAGACCTTAAAGATTAAAGTGATAGCGTTTGTGTAGATGAGCTACGCAATTCGCGGGTCAGTGATTTCCCACAAATATAACGAAAATTTTCAAATAATATTTTTTTGTGTTTATTATCTATATCAGATACATAGGTAAATGTGTTGAGTACGTTTAAGATAATTATTTAGTGACGCAGTGGTCAAGTCCACTATAAGGGTGTAAAACAGTTATCATATTGTATTTATCATCTTTTAACGATATAAATAAACAAAAACTACCAATTGGCCAACCGTCCACTTAACGCAGTAGGTAAGACTGTCAGTTAAATTTCTAGTTGAATATCAATGCAATGCAGGTTTGATTCGCAAAAATTATTTTTGTATGAAGAATATTTAAACGCACTACGATTTCATAATATTTATAATTTGAATATATGGATCAATATATAACATAATATTTTTACTTTTCTGATAAAGCTTTCTCCTGATGTGTTGCGTTTTCTCTTACTGTACGCAAGTGCATATCAACCCGTGTCCAAAAAATATCTGATGCATTTGTAACTATTTAAAACAAAACCGGCCAAATAAGAAAAAGATACATAAGACAGCCAAATGTTATAGTACTTATATATATAACCATGATTCGACCATGAATTTAACACTGAAACGTTCGCTCTGCCTACTGCGCTATCAAGGCACATAAAAATCTAACGTTTTACTTTGGGTTTTATTCATAAGGCATCAGCTCGCCTTACCTTTTTAATGGAAAGCCATGGCTGTCTTATATTGTTCTTTTTTAATTTATTTAACCATTTGGATAATTAATAAGTTCGCTTCGACTATATATGAATTGAAAACACCTTCTAATTTAACCGGAATCCATTATGTTAATCCACAGCTACAATATATGAAAACATACCGTCAGTGTATGAAACAGAGTTAGCAATATATAAGTTGATTTTCTCAATCATATATTGAGAAAATCAACCTATATCACGGGGGAGAATCACGCCGTTCGTTACCCAAACAAACAAGATGGCGGATGCAGCCAAAAAGTAAGGTTTTCCCTTTTTCTCTGAAATTCGTGATGTTCTAATGTAAAAGTACATATAACAACCTTCTTTTTCCTGGCACACAGGATTTTATTTCATGATGTTTCGTCCCGTGCTTCATCTGAAATGCGCGTCACCAGATTCGAAGCGAGATAATTTTCCATCGGTTTGATCGTGGTAACGTACGGCTTTTTCTCTCAAATTCACTGTTTCGTTTACATATATGTATATTAACTGAAACCACTGACTTTAAATATGTCGTCATCTAAGCATTCATGCCCATTCTGACTAAAATAACTGCTGAAAATATTAATATCGGGGCATTTTCTGGAAATGATAACATATGGCGCACAAAATATCAATGATAACGTACGGCGCATTTTTTCTGATTAATTGATTTTCTTTATAATAGAAAAGTTATGTTTACAAGACATAAGAGGATGTGTAGAACCAAATTAAGAAACTGAAATAAATAATATTAGTGTCCAGCTTTATATGTAATCCAATGAAAGCACTGTATTTCTTAAAAATTCTTTGTGTAAATTTTCATAGATG